ATTAGAACAGAAATAAATTTAATCCTCTACGACCCACTAGAGGGCAGCAATCATCAGTATGACTAGCCTCCGGGGAATCTGCAGAGGTTTTTCCCGCGGCAGCTTTCAATTCATAAGGTGAAACCCCTCTCCAAATAAACAGTGAACCTTGTAAATTTTTAATTGATACTGGGGCCACTGCCTCTGTTTTAAACTCCACATGTTTACAAAAACCTCTGCCCTGGAGTACTATGGCTAAAACAGTGGGGGTGGCAAACCAAACACAAACTTTAACGTATTCTCAACCTGTTAGTATATCCGTAGGACTTATTGAACATATACATCCATTATTACTTAGTCCTGATACCTTGTAAACTTATTAAGGTGAGATTTATTATCTAAATGGAATTGCCACCTACAGTCTATGGAGGATGGAGAAATTATACTAAATTTACCAGACCCTCCTCCATCGTACCCAGAAGACATCTTTTGCTATTTGCAGGCTTTAAACCAACAAGAAACAAACATACTTGCCCCTTTAATGTCCTCTATCCCCGATGAGTTATTAATTACTTAATGCAACCACTACATTTGTGGCTAAGAAGCTCTTTGAAAACATTATTCCTACTTGGGTAGTGCCTACTATTCTTTGCAGTGACAGAGAAATGCATTTCACTGGGCAGGTTATTTAAGAAGTTTGCAGAATTTTTTCCTATCTTTCAGAGGTTGCAGTTTCCCTACCACCCCCAGTGGAATGGACAAATTGCATAAATAAAACTCAATTAGCTAAACTTTGTGAATCCCTAGGTTCAACGTGGACTAAAGTACTCTCTCTAGTTTTGTTGCATCTCAGAGCTACACACTTTGGAACTCATAAACTTATCCCCTATGAAATTGTTACTGGAAGACCCACGAGTCTCCCTTAATTTGCCGATACTGATCCTAACATAGCTCAGTTAGACCTTTTGAAATACTGCCAATCCCTAATGGCTTGGTCTTGAGAGTACCACTCTCAAATAAGAGAAGCCTTTAATGACCAAGAACCTGAATTCTGTAACAAACCTGACATTTCTCCAGGTGATTATGTGTATTGGAAGAGGCACCAACAAAAAGATTCCTTGGAGTCTCATTGGAAAGGACTTTATTTAGTCCTTCTAACAAACCCCTGTGCCGCTAAACTTGAGGGTATGAACTCTTGGATTTCTCTTTCATAGCTCAAGAAATCCAAAAAGCCACCATCCCCGTGGACCTGTGAATCCACTGAGGACTTAAAGCTTACCCTCTGCCACTCCAAGGACGAGAAGCAGACGACATCTCTAGAGTAGATAGCCAATCCCAAGACCTTTGGAACAAGATTTCATGCAACCTGTTACATTTTATGGACTTTTTGGACTTTGCACCCTGTTGCTAATTGGTATTGTAATGATCGTTACCTTTTTGCAGACTTATAGTGTTACTCTCTGCATTGACATTTTATTCCTTTCTTGTAAACCTAGATCCCTGTTTACTAGTGCTACCCATAATTTTTAGATTGTTTCTCTACTATGAAACCTTTCTAAGGCTTTCTCTTACTGCTCTTCATAGCTCCTAGTGACCCATGGCAAAATAAAGCATTTATTAAACTGGCTTAATTTGTAACTAGTGCAGCCAATCTAACTACGTGTTGGATTTGCAACCATTTGCCATGAGCTGTACATGAAAATGCAGACACTTTAGCAACCCCAGTGCTAGACTACAGTTTAGTACCCAATGCAATTGTCAACCTCAAGTCTTCAATTAGACGAGCCATTAAAGTCAAACTATGGCATCCAACTAAAATATGGGTTCCCTTATTTTAGTGCCTTGTTTTCAGCTTTCTTATGTATTCACACAAACTAATGTTACCTGTGGTAATGGACAATCTATATATACCTTTCATCATTAACAACCTGTAACTATCAGGATTCAAAATCAGTTTGCAACCTTATTCAACATGTATCAGACCTACTAGCATTGTCCATTAGTAATGACTTCCTTACTCAAGAATGACTTACAAACACAAACCAGATTATCCCTGCCCTGAATAATCAGACTGGAGCAGGAATGATATGTACACCACCTGGGTATATATTCTTGTGTAGAAGATCAGACTATTTTGATACCTATTCCCAACCTTTTACTTGGGCTTTGTCTTGCCTGGATGGATGCAGTATTTCTGGCCGATGTACTATTGGATATCTAGGAATCCCTTTAGACCTTTACTCCTTTAATGAAAGTATACATTGGAGCAGTGAGTTAAAATTATATGAAAAAACCAAAAGGTCCATCAGAGATGAATAAGGCAGAAACAATGAAAACCATTTAAGCACCCATACTGGCATAGGATATTCTTTCCTCTGAGCATTTCCGCCTTGGTACAGAGTTACATACTTGGAGCAAGCTGTCTGTAATCTGTCCAGCACTATGGAAGGAATGACAAGCAAAATTGCAGATGCTATATCAAATGAAGAAAAATCTTTGAAATCTCTTGCCAAGGTTGTAATGGACAGCTGAATGACCTTAGATTTTCTTCCAGCACAACAAGGTGGGGTTTGTGCCATCACTAATACTTCTCATTGCACTTGGATTAACGCTTTTGGCGTAGTAGAACAAGACAATGAGGAAATTCGCAAAATGGTTACGTGGCTTCACATACCTGCCCAAGCTAACTTTTCCTACCTTGACATCTTTAACTGGCTACCTGCAGAAATAGGCTATTGGATTAGACCTATACTAATGACTGGATTTTTTACTTATTGCGATTGTCATTATCATTGGAATAATCAAATGTTGTATGAAAGTTAGGGGTCCTGGTAGTGCAATGACTAAAGCACTCAGCTGCTAACTGAAAGGTCAGTGGTTTGAACCCACCAGCCACTCTGCAGGAGAAAGATGTGGCAGTCTGCTTCCATAAAGATGTA